ACAAGTCGCCACGGGAAGCCTTTAGAACACCCAAAGAAACCCTTTACTCGTAAATAATTCAGTCTAGCTCTCATCCCCAGTTGCGTAAAAACCCCTCTTTGACCGATTAAAATAGTAGCACGCAACAGTATTATGATATATACGTACGTATATTCTCAATGCAGGCTTGAATGCGATTTGACATGCTAAAAATATTATAAGTGCTATATTTGATAATATTATTTCAATTTTTTCTTCACAATTTTACTTTGCTAAATAATTAATACAACTTTTTAAGCTGAACATTTTTCTTAATGGGCGAAGACTTGTTGATTTAATAAAATTTTATGTGATCGCGAGTCAGAGTGATACTAATCGTGTTATGATTATCAAATCCTGTTAACGTTAATTAATACATGTATTTAGTGTTTTAAATAACGATAAGGTTAATTATATCGATATATGCCGATACTAAAAAAACACAGCGGAATAAAATTTCCCCGTTCTATCATCGTTATCTTGATATCGATATGATTTCGATTAATTTAGAATCGATTAAATTTTGGAAATCGATTAAAATTTAAAATTTAGACAAAATCGATTAATAATGATATCGATAACAATACAATAATAATAATAGCGATAGTGCATAAATCGCGTAAATGATTGGAAAATCACTTGCAAATAACATGGCAAATGTTATTTACAAGTTACAACGACTCTGTCATTCAACAAAAAATGTTGATATTGATAATAACTAAGAACTATTGCCAATATAGAGTTTGATGACTCTGATAATGATACTAATGCCATAGTAAGTAATATTGATCCGAACTTATGAAACAACAGAAAATACATTAATGAAACATACGCAGACAATACTTAAATTGCCTTTATACTATTTTTTTTTCATGTAGTATCCCTATGAATTCAACTAATCAAAGTATAATTTCAACTAATCAAAGTACAATTTCAGCTATTCCAACGAAAAGGGAAAAAAAATCAACATGCAATGAAAAACAAAGCTGAGCTGTCATCGTCGTAATTTGTGCTCGAGAATCGATTTTGGGATGAGAATCGATTACTCAAATTAAAATCGACTTTGAAATCGATTCTGGGTTGAGAATCGATTCCTATCCCTACATCAGCCAGAATTTTCCTTTCGAAAATAAAATTTTTTTACAGTGAGCTGATCCAGTTTATAAAATTAGCAGTTTATGTAAAGTTGTTGGACTTTATACAACGTTATGTGCGTGCAATTTGCATTTTGATTATATCGATATTATTCATTATGAATACGATTTACAAAGGGATTCTAATTCCTAATTACATGTACTATCTGTCTGTACTTGAACTGTTATCATGCTTTAAGAAAATTTGACCAGAAGCATTAAAAATATCTGCGTTCTTAAATTTCATTTTTGCAATGATGTGAATTTTGCCTTTCTGTTACAAATATTGCCGTACCAATTAATTTTCTCGAAGAACCTGAACACAGGCTCCCTCAACTTATTGTAAGAAAAATACGCCAGTAAAAAATACGGAAATATACGACAATGTCTGACATGTAAAAGGTCACACGTAATTACGTGGTATGCAAGTGTACGTATATCGTAAAACGTTCTGTATTTTTTCACAGACATGAGGGACTCCTGATAATCTTGGAATTGAGTTTATTGAACAATCTAAGCAAATACGTATTTCATTAAATTCTCTTCGTGAAATCAATGAAAATTGGTTGTTTAATTTTCTGGCTTCATCTACGTATTATATACTTAGCGTTAGTAGAAGTAACTTTGTTGGCGTCCAGCATATTATGTTCAAATTCATACGAAATAGGCGCACATGCATTCAGAGTGCACAGGTAGAAAAGGGTCAGTACACTAGAGGTGTCTGTGTGTGCAGAAACCTCTACAGGAACCCTGGGTTTCTAATTATATTCGCCAAAATTCAAATGAATTACCAGGGGAAATCTGAAATTCCGCTAGAGGTTCCATATTGGTGGAAACCTCTAGGTGGAATGACCAAAACTTTAATGGTTTTATAGTGAGTTCTGGCGAAATTTCAAAACAATGTCGAGTAGCCAATATCAAGATCGCAGATCCAAATTTTTTGTGTCGAAAAAAAAACCCAAAAAGCAAAAATCGCCAACAGCTAAGATTGGGTAACTAGTAAAAAATGCTCAGCTCGAAATTTTGTTTGTACAAGCGTCTTGGGCGCTATGATTGTAAGTATAGGTAATTAATGTGGGGGATCATGAAGAAAAATGTATTATGGCGAAAATTTAGGCCAAAATTGTGCAGATCATGCGATAATTTGGCCAGAATTATCGATAATTTCTTATAATAAAAAAGCAATAATGATAAACGCATAAAATATATAGCTTGAATTAATTTTACAATAATATTTATATTGCTAAATACTATGTAAATTTTCACCATAATCCGTTTTTTCATCATGATCCCCCACCCCACAATCAACACTAATTGCAGTGTTGTCACTTGGACGTGAATCCAGCAATTTGATTGGTTAGGACACTTATCCCAACCAATCAAATTGCTGGATTCACGTCCAAGCGACAACACTGCTAATTGTATTAAACAAGAGTTATTACGGAAATTGATACCACTAGAAGAAAACACTTTGGAAACATTGAAAGTTTCGGTCGTTCCACCGCTTCTCCACTTAGATCTTCCTAGTGGTAATAAAATGTCCTCTAACGGTACGGACCTGGAATCCTGCGGATCACCTAAAGGTTTTCTACAACAGAAAGCATTACTGAACCTCCCTTTTTACCAGTGGTGCAATCTTTCATGTGAATACGGAATCATTATTTGCTGCCAAAAATTGCGAAATATATTTTTGAAACAATTGCTTGATGACAGTATTGTATACGGACGTTCTTCGGACATAAAAAATGCCGGACTACCATTGCCCCTGTCCCATGACGATGGTACTTATTAGGTTACAGCATTCGCTTTATAATCTTGATAGATACCAGTTTCTAATATCTTGGCTAGGACAAACCGGAGTATCCGATTTTATTCATAAACTGGTTATGGCCTGTATTTAGCTGCTACAACCTAGTTTCTCTAAACAAAAACTCGAATAAATGCTTGTTCTGTTTAAAGATGTACTATTCGACTTCGATTGACCAATTGAAAGTAGAGTAACGTTAACGATAATAATTACCGTTACGTACAAAACTATCTAGAATCATATATCCATTTTGGTATAATAAATATTTAAACTATAATATAATACAACAATAAATATAAAAAAAAAGATAAACTATGATATTGCTTTAGGTGTAAGATAGACTTTCATCTCCTGGCAGGAATTGCCTAGTTTAAAAACGGTTGTTAACGGTTTATTTGGATCCACTAATTCAACTTCATACTTTCCAAAGAAAGAGACCATCAACATCTTAAGTGTAGCTACAGCGACATGCCTGCCCGGACACAACCTTATACCACCACCAAATGGTATAAAGCTATTCTTTTCAGTAGTGTCGTTTCCCCGCAAAAAGCGTTCAGGATTAAATTTTTCAGGTTCTTGCCAGTGTGCTTTATGCGTATGTATTCCAGCAATATGCGCAAATATCATTGTGCCGGCTTTAAATTTATATCCTGCAACTTCGTCGTCATTTGACATTTCTTTGAAAACTATTGCGGCTATATTTGCAATTCTTTGCGCTTCTTTAATCGTTGCTTCGGTATAGACGAGTTTTGCGAGTATATCGTGAGTGATTTTCGAATGTTCATTGCCAATAATTTGATCGATTTCTTGAAGTAGACGCGTTTTTACTGCTGGATTTTGGCAAACGTAGTAAATTATAAAGCAGAATGTCGCGGAAATCTGCACGCATAAAATATTTTTCTTTAGCATTTTAAATTTTATTATTCAGAGAATATTAGTTATTCTGAAGCTTACTGTTTGAATTCCACCAATTATGACTTCAAGAAGATTGGCTCTTATTTCATCATCTGTTAAAGGTCTCGTTTCTTCCATATGGTTAGATTTAGAATTTTCATCTCGTATTGTATTAGTTATTAATAATTTTGTCAGAATATCATTCTGTAACGGTGTTTTGATTGATGAGGTCTCAATCTCTTGTCGTCGCTCTGCAATTATTTTGTTGATTTTATTATCAAAGTTTTTTATCTCATTCATATACCTTTTAGTGTATTGACGGAATCCGGGAAGATAATGTCTCACTGCATATGGAAAAAAATAAAAGTATTGTATTATCCATGTCCACAGATTTGTTTGTTCGACGAAATCTTCTAATTCATTTTTAAAGGTTCCTTCAAACTCAAGTTGTTTATCGTTTGGCGCAATTGAATTATAGAAAATTGCCAACGAGTAAAAACTTTTTCCGGTTGCAGTTTTTAATATAAGCTCGGTAATGAAATGCGGCATCCATTCTACGAGATCAATGGATGCGCCAGCGCCAAGTTTATCCCAGTAGGTTTCTGCTTCTTGAAACAAAACTTTAGTTTCAGTGAGAAGGTTATGCAGAAAATTTTGCGAAGACATCGCATGAATGAAAACTCTTCTATGAAAACGCCAGGAATCAGGATCTATGTTGAAAGCAATTCCGTGATCTTGTAGACCTAATTCGGCTAGTCCTGCATTTCGAGAACCCTATGATAAAGAAATCATAATGACATGTTAGAAAAAGAAGAAATGCGAGCGTTTTAAAGACATCAACATACTCTATTGAAAAAATTAGTATCTTTGGAAGGATACATCATTTTTTCTACAAGATCTGCACGGCAAAGATAAATATTTCGTTCTGATCCTGAGTATACTTCAAACACATCGCCGTATTTCGCTTGCATGCGCATTAGAAACTTTGCAGGATTAGCGCCCATCTGAAGAAGGTTGCCGAATAATGGGATTGGAAGAGGTCCTGGTACAGGTGATAGACGAGCAAAATAATTATAATAGTATCTAGCAATGTAAACACTAATTAGGACAGAAATAACTGTCATGAATTCTGAATACGCAAGTAATATTGCCATTGTTTTAACACTTTGAAAGTAATATTATTCAAAAGAAAGAACAATTTATTGTTTCTGTCTCTTTTTTAGAAGATACTTATATAGTTCTGTGAATAACTAGCCCGTGACGCGTTGAATATAAACGAAAATTTTACTGTCTCCTATAAACAAAATGCACATATAAAAAAATAGAAATTTATCCGATAAACTCGCTGCCTTTAGCTTATAATAGAAGCTTTATCCGAAACATTAGTGTCATTTAAACAAAGTAAACAAAATTTATCCGATAAACTTGTAATGAAAAAAGGTACTAACGGAATGTCCAAAATTATTTGCTTCAATTTTGATAATCAAGGTATAGCGATAGAGATACATGTATTTGCAATGCATATCTTTGAATAAAAATAGTTATTTGTATCGGTCTCAGTGTGACATTTTATCAAAATAAAGTACATGAATGATGCAAAAATTATGTACTGCAGAAATTTACCCTCTACGTACAGGTATTCCAGAAGCACAGTTCACAATTTAAGGTTCATGTACATGTGATGTCAAAACCTTTACTACATGTATAACTAGCCCCCCCTTAAAAAAAAATGCTGAAGTAAAAAAAAAATACACGATCTTTTTGCAGCCTAAAATATATTTGTGGTGCTTGAGGGTCATAATACATGTACATGTACAGTCAGCACAGAAAGTAACGGTAAACACTGGATGTGCAACATCAACATAAATTTAAACTAGTGTTTAAACCTGACGGCGCATAACCGGCTAGCTGATTCAGTCGAGCTAATTTCTTCGATGCGGCGCAAGTTGATCTCTGAAAAATTTCTAAATTAGTAAACTTATCGTTTATCATTATCGTTATAAAAAGATTCAAATTTACCTCCCTCACAATCAAGCATCATAAAGCGTTCCTGCTTCTAGCAATCAAGCATCAAGTTCGTCTGCTTTTAATGATCAAGTGTCAAATCGCAATCAAACATTAAATTTATCAATTCCTATAAAGAGAGCCAATCCATTCACAAATAAAGAGAGTTGGGTACGATTACATTTTAAGGAGAACCGAATTACAAAAAAAGTTATTTGTCAGCTAACTATTAAATAATGAAGATAATGATAATGTATTATAATGCAAATACGTACATAATAATAAAATATATTCTAAATAAGGAAATTCACATTATTGTCACTTGAGCCGGCTAGCCGAAACAAAAAATGCCAACACAGTTACGCTGGTATTTTGTTGCCGGATTGAAACAGTAATTTAAACGTGGCCCCTTTTTGTTATTGTTGACTGCAAATTTTTTTTATTTCTTTCTTCGACTTTTACGCCTCCAGTTGACCGACTTTGACGAGGGGGTAAAATGGTAATTTTTATTGGGGTTTTGAGTGCTGTGCAAGTTACAAGAAAAATGAGTCGTGACCCGATGACGGGATACTGGTCTCTTGCCGAATACAAGAGAAATAGGAAAAAAGAAAATTTATCAGGGTTTGGGTCACAAGCTCTTAACAAGCAAGAAAAAAAAATGCACATTTCCAAGAAGCCAAAAAAAGGCAACCTAAGCCATTTCGTGACATTTTCAACAAAAAATCTACCCGAAGATTCTTTAAAGTAATTTCATTCTTTTTCATAATATATTATGCTCATTAATTTGAAAAAATATGGCGTTTCAGCTTAACCATAACCCTAATTCTAAAATAGGTTCAAGAGAAGAATATTAATGATTATGAACCAACCAGACCTGACTTCATAGAAAACATCTAGAAATCATTGTAGAACAATATTCTAAAGGGTAAAAGCTTTTCAAAAACTGAGAACAAGCTCAAGACTGCTCTGAAGGAAGTGTAATCAAAATTTAATGTGTTGGTTTGGGGGAAGGTTGTGAGTTCGATGCCGTAAGAAATCGAGGTGATATTGAAGCCACATAATGTATTAGTTAATGGTAAAAAATTTTATGTATACATGTATAAAACAAAATTGAAATAAAATGAATCTATCTAAAACTTTATTTTTAAAAAAAAATCGGTCGTTACTTTCTGTGGCGACTGTACATACCGATACTCCAACCTGGATTAAAGTGTTCGGCTTGCACATTCTGCATGTGTAACGTGTATGGCAACTTGATCAATATCGATATCAAAAGTAGAAATCGACCAATACTATGTTTTTCTTTTTGAATCTCCAAATAATTTATTAAATAATGTGTATAAATTAATTAAGAATAAATTTTATTATCAAAAATTCAAAAAAATAAAGATATAATTGATTTGGAATCTTTGTTTGGATCTCTTATTACTACTGATATTCCAGGAACTGACAATAATAGAAAAGAAACTTCTACTACAACTCAAAATGAATCAAAATCTATTGATGAAAAATCTGTAAATGATTCTCTAGATTCTGAAACTTGGAAACTACAACATAATAATAAAATATAGTAAAAATCGAATTATTTCTTTATTTTTAAAAAATCAGAACTATTTTTATTCTGAAAAAATTTGAAAATAAAATAATTTGGAATTTATTATTTTAAAATCTGAAAAAACTGGATTTTTTTCCAACTATAAAATTAGTAAACAATAATTTTTTATTTTTAATTTAAATTCAGAAAATATAAAAAAATAGAATATAATATTTTTTTATCTAATAATATTAAAATTAATGATTTTATTCAAATAAAATTATTATTAAGAGATCTTATATAAAAAATATTGAATTTTATTTTTTATATTTTTATAAAAATCAATTTAATTATAATAACTTTAATATTAATTAATTATATATTCAAAATTTTTAATTCAGATTTTTATTAACTAAAAATAAATATATTTATTATAAATATATTTATTTTTTAATAAATTTAATATTTATACAATATTAAAATTAATAATTAAATTTAATATTTAATTTTATATTAAAATAAATTAAATAATAATAATTTATTTAATGAAAATATTAATTTTTAATATATAAAATATCAAATTTTAATTTTAATATATTTTAATTTCAAACTCAATTAGTTTATTTATAAAATTAAAGTTTATAATTATTTTAATTTTAAATATATTTTTAAATATTTAATATAAAAGAAAATTTATTAATATATATAGTGACAATAAAAAATAATATAGTAATATTAAAATTATTAATAAAATATAGTAAAATATAATTTTTTTATATAAAAGTTATTAATTTTACTAATAAATATTTCTATTTTTATATTAAAACAAAGATTATAAGTTATATTTTAATATATATTTTTTTTGACAAAGTTAATTTAATTGCAAAAAATTTTTTATAATTAATTGTATTTAAAGTGTAAAAATTTTTGTAATAATTAACAAATAACTATTAAAAAAAATCTAGAAAAAATATATATTAAAATATAACTTATAATCTTTGTTTTAATATAAAATTAAATATTTATTAATAAAATTAAAAACTTATATGGAATAAAACTTTTAATTTTATTAATATAATTACATATATAATTCTATAACTTTATTAGTCATTATATATTTTTATATAAAAATAAAAATATTAATTAGTAAATTAAAAATATTTATATATAATATAATATATTTAAATTTTTTAAA